CCTGTGATGGTCCTGTGATGTACCTGGATGGTCCTGTGATGTACCTGTGATGTACCTGTGATGTACCTGTGATGGTCCTGTGATGTACCTGTGATGGTCCTGTGATGGTCCTGTGATGGTCCTGTGATGGTCCTGTGATGTACCTGTGATGTACCTGTGATGGTCCTGGATGGTCCTGTGATGGTCCTGTGCTGTACCTGTGATGGTCCTGTGATGTACCTGTGATGGTCCTGGGATGGTCCTGTGATGTACCCTGATGTACCTGTGATGGTCCTGTGATGGTCCTGTGATGGTCCTGTGATGTACCTGTGATGTACCTGTGATGTACCTGTGATGGTCCCGGGATGGTCCTGTGATGGTCCTGTGCTGTACCTGTGATGGTCCTGTGATGTACCTGTGATGGTCCTGTGATGTACCTGTGATGGTCCCAGGATGTACCTGTGATGGTCCTGTGATGGTCCTGTGATGTACCTGTGATGGTCCTGTGATGGTCCTGTGATGGTCCTGTGCTGTACCTGTGATGGTCCTGTGCTGTACCTGTGATGGTTCTGTGATGTACCTGTGATGGTCCTGTGATGTACCTGTGATGGTCCTGTGATGTACCTGTGATGGTCCTGTGATGGTCCTGTGCTGTACCTGTGATGGTCCTGTGATGTACCTGTGATGGTCCCGGGATGTACCTGTGATGGTCCCAGGATGTACCTGTGATGGTCCTGTGATGTACCCAGGATGGTCCTGGGTGTACCTGTGATGTACCTGTGATGGTCCTGTGATGGTCCTGTGATGTACCTAGATGGTCCTGTGATGTACCTGTGATGGTCCTGTGATGTACCTGTGATGGTCCTGTGATGTACCTGTGATGGTCCTGTGATGGTCCTGTGATGTACCCGATGGTCCCAGATGTACCTGTGATGGTCCTGTGATGTACCTGTGATGGTCCTGTGATGTACCTGTGATGGTCCCAGGATGTACCTGTGATGTACCTGGATGGTCCTGTGATGTACCTGTGATGGTCCTGTGATGTACCTGTGATGGTCCCAGTGTGGTCTGTGATGTACCTGTGATGGTCCTGTGATGTACCCGATGGTCCTGTGATGTACCTGTGATGGTCCCAGGATGCACCTGTGATGGTCCTGTGATGGTCCTGTGATGGTCCTGTGATGGTCCTGTGATGTACCTGTGATGGTCCTAGGATGTACCCAGGATGGTCCCAGGATGTACCTGTGATGGTCCTGTGATGTACCTGTGATGGTCCTGTGATGGTCCTGTGATGGTCCTGTGCTGTACCTGTGATGGTCCTGTGATGTACCTGTGATGGTCCTAGTCTGTGATGGTCCTGTGATGGTCCTGGATGGTCCTGTGATGGTCCCGATGGTCCTGTGATGGTCCCAGATGTACCTGTGATGCAGGATGTACCTGCTGTGATGGTCCTGTGATGTACCTGTGATGGTCCTGTGATGTACCTGTGGATGGTCCTGTGATGGTCCTGTGATGGTCCGTGCTGTACCTGTGATGGTCCTGGGATGTACCTGTGATGGTCCCAGGATGTACCTGTGATGGTCCTGTGATGTACCTGTGATGGTCCTGTGATGGTCCTGTGATGGTCCTGTGATGTACCTGTGATGGTCCTGTGATGTACCTGTGATGGTCCTGTGATGTACCCTGGATGGTCCTGTGATGTACCTGTGATGGTCCTGTGATGTACCTGTGATGGTCCTGTGATGTACCTGTGATGGTCCTGTGATGTACCTGTGATGGTCCCAGGATGGTCCTGTGATGTACCTGTGATGGTCCCAGATGTACCCAGATGGTCCTGTGATGTACCTGTGATGGTCCTGTGATGGTCCCGATGTACCTGTGATGGTCCCGGGATGTACCTGTGATGGTCCTGTGATGTACCTGTGATGGTCCTGTGATGTACCTGTGATGGTCCTGTGATGTACCCAGGATGGTCCTTGGATGTACCTGTGATGGTCCTGTGATGTACCTGTGATGGTCCTGTGATGTACCTGTGATGGTCCTGTGATGTACCTGTGATGGTCCTGTGATGGTCCTGTGATGTACCTGTGATGGTCCTGTGATGGTCCTGTGATGTACCCAGGATGGTCCTGTGATGGTCCCGATGTGTCGGATGGTCCTGTGATGTACCTGTGATGGTCCCGGGATACCTGTGATGGTCCTGTGATGGTCCTGTGATGTACCTGTGATGGTCCCGGATGGTCCCAGATGTACCTGTGATGGTCCCAGGATGTACCTGTGATGGTCCTGTGATGGTCCTGTGAGTCCTGTGATGGTCCTGTGATGTAACCCTGATGGTCCTGTGATGTACCTGTGATGGTCCTGTGATGTACCTGTGATGGTCCTGTGATGTACCTGTGATGGTCCTGTGATGGTCCTGTGATGTACCTGTGATGGTCCTGTGATGTACCTGTGATGGTCCTGTGATGTACCTGTGATGTACCTGTGATGTACCTGTGATGGTCCTGTGATGTACCTGTGATGGTCCTGTGATGGTCCTGTGATGTACCCGGGATGGTCCTGTGATGTACCTGTGATGGTCCTGTGATGTACCTGGATGGTCCTGTGATGTACCTGTGTGATGGTCCTGTGATGTACCTGTGATGGTCCTGTGATGTACCCAGATGTACCTAGATGTACCTGTGATGGTCCGATGTACCTGTGATGGTCCTGTGATGGTCCTGTGATGTACCTGTGCTGTACCTGTGATGTACCTGTGATGGTCCTGTGATGTACCTGTGATGGTCCTGTGATGGTCCTGTGATGGTCCTGTGATGGTCCTGTGATGTACCTGTGATGGTCCTGTGATGTACCTGTGATGGTCCTGTGCTGTAGTCGCCTTAAAAACTCCTCGTCTCCGCCCGGTTGAGTCAGTATGGAAACTAAATGAAATAACGCAGCGCCGGCAGTGTTGGGATCCTGAACTACACACCTGTGAGTATTCTGGGTTATAATGTTCCTTACCTGAGGATGTTATACACATTTCCTCTAACATTCCCTTCTGAAGGTAAAAGTAAAAGCATGTGAACAAACGCGAGGACTCGGAGCAGTGCATACAGCTCGTCCCTAACGAGCGAATGAGCAGTTAAGCAAACTACAGCGACCCGGTAATACCATCAACCTCGGTCACTCGGTGTAGTGAGAGGTGCATCGGCCGGTCAACCTGGATGATGGCGTGATAATAAGTGAGCCCAGCGGACTATGGTCATCAGGTTGAACAGTGTGTAATGAACAGCACCTATCATGACGACACCGT